TGGTTCTATACAACCAACTGTGGTTCTATAGTACCCACAACCAACTCTGGTTCTATAGTACCCACAACCAACTCTGGTTCTATAGTACCCACAACCAACTCTGGTTCTATAGTACCCACAACCAACTCTGGTTCTATAGTACCTACAACCTACTTTGGTTCTATAATACCCACAACCAACTCTGGTTCTATAGTACCCACAACCAACTCTGGTTCTATAGTACCCACAACCAACTCTGGTTCTACAGTACCCACAACCAACTCTGGTTCTATAGTACCCACAATCAACTTTGGTTCTATAATATCCACAACCAACCCTGGTTCTATAGTACCCACAACCAACTCTGGTTCTATAGTACCCGCAACCAACTCTGGTTCTATAGTACTCACAACCAACTCTGGTTCTATAGTACTCACAACCAATTCTGGTTCTATAGTACCCACAACCAACTCTGGTTCTATAGTACTTACAACCAACTCTGGTTCTATAATATCCACAACCAACTCTGGTTCTATAGTACCCACAACCAACTCTGGTTCTATAGTACCCACAACCAACTCTGGTTCTATAGTACCCACAACCTACTTTGGTTCTATAATACCCAAAACCTACTCTGGTTCTATAGTACCCACAACCAACTCTGGTTCTATACTACTCACAACCAACTCTGGTTCTATAGTACCCACAACCAACTGTGATTCTATTCTCATTTGGCCGAAGAGAGGTATGTGACTGTTACTCTTATAGCACACCCACGATAATGGGCTGCGAACCAGAAATCCTCCATTTCACAGTCCTAGTATGCCAACCACTAGACCACGCTCGTCCAAGAACAGAAGAAAAAACAACATAAAAAGAGCTGGAAATATTAAAACTATCAAGAAAGAAGAGAGAAAGTAAACGGCATTTAATAGAAGTTTGACTCACTATTAAGCTCTAACGCAAAGTATAAATTATTCATTAATACTTCTTATTCATATTCTTTATTGTATTTTATGGTATTATTATTTTTTCAACCTGAATAGCACATTATGAGATACATGGGCTAAAAGATCAGATTAAAGAACTCAAGGTTCAGGTATAAACCCTAATTTAGAATTGCTGATCAGAAAGAGGGCTACCATAAATGGTCTGATTAGAGAACTCAAAGTTCACGTATAAACCATAATTTAGAATTGCTGATCAGAAAGAGGGCTACCAGTCAGCAGTCTAGCTAAACCGAATATAAGGATTGACTGTCACTTTTATAACGCGCATAGAGCTGAAAGGGATCTTCTCCTTTGAACACAAAGTTTCAAGAATAATTTATCATTCCTATTGCAATTAGGAAGGAGCTATTATGCTTTTCCATCTTACTTGTTTAACTTATAAAATCAAAATACATCAAATTCTTCGTACACGTGGCAGTATTTTAACAACAAAAGTATCTGAGGAACGTAATAGTATTATGTCCACGTGTTTAACGAAACATGAGTAGAAATATTGTGTGTGGAATAGTATAAAGTATGGGAACGCTGGTATAAAGTATGAGAACGCTTTGATATACTATTCTGTACTCATCGTTTATGATATAGTCTGTATACTGTGTTTAATCGCTTATTGTGTACTACATTATATTTGATCGCTTATGATGGTATACCGTCTTATATTTTATTGATTATGTTATACTATTGTGAAATATTTCGTCAGTATTGATATACAGTGCCGTATTTTATTATTTATGATATACCATACTGTAGGTGATCGTTTACGCACATTTTCCTACAATCAAACTTTTTTTATTTTTTGTTAAAGCAATAAACGTCATTAATTTTCCTATTAATTTTCTCATAAGAATTATTTTGTAAAATCAGACGCCTTCTCACTGAAGATGCAGTGAGGTGTTTTTATTTATTTTATATTTTGTTGCAAAATAAAAACGTATCATTGCTAAAATCACCCCCTGTCCCTCAGTCAGAAAACTGACACCTCAAAAACTCTCCATCTCTTTAAGCTATGAAAATAACAATTCTGAAACAGACCCATCTCTAAGACAGAAAGATGACAGTTCTAATATAAACCAGTCTTATATCCGGAAAATAATAATTATAAAATAAATCATTTCCTAGTCAAGAAATTAACAATTCTAAAACTCTTCCATTCTTTCAAGTTGCCCCCCAGTGGCACAGCGGTATGTCTGCGGACTTACAACGCTAGAAACAGATAGCCCTTGAGTAGCTTTGTGCATAATTAAAAACAAACAAACAAACAATCTTTCAAGTCAGAGAATTATCAAATTTCAAATTCCCCCTTTCTTCTAAGCTATAAAAATAACAATTCTAAAATTCTCCTCTTCTTCCAAGATATAAAATTAGCGTTTTTGATGTTATCCCTGCTTTACTTTTTAATATTATGTTATGACTAAGTTCGTCTTTCATGACGAAAAATCATAAAGCTTAGTCATATTTGGCAGATGAAAAGTTATCTAAATGCTTATATTAGAATCGAACCTAGAACTTTATCCTTCGCAAAATAGTGGATAAGCTAGATGTCTTACGAGGTTCCTAATTTTCACAGCAGAATTTGAAAGGTTTAACTTGGCACTTAAAAATTTCAAAGCTTTACTAGCGTGACACTGAAGGTGCTGATATATATGTTTCCCAATGTTTTATTTAATTACTTACTATAATCAAAAATGATAGTTATTGAACTTTTGAAGGCTATTTATCGGATTATCACCAGGATAAGACAAAACTATATATAAAATAATATTTTATAAGGTCATTTCAATTATTAAAACAAGAGGGAATCCTCAATAGCAGCGACACTTGAAATTATTTTAGGCGGAATTACAGTAAATTAATCTGAGACCTTTTTATTTCCCTTTTATTAGCTATATTTCTGTGCGCCAGCAATACCAGCGTAAAACGCGCGTATATCCGATTCGATGTTATTATTCATCAGGATCTCTACCAACCTACCTTCAAATTAAAATTATTTTAGGCAGGATTAGAGTATATTAATCTGTGAGACATTGGGCGTGATCAAATACACCAATCGACAGGGTTTGGCCTTTCTGAGTCCAAAACTATAATTAGATCTCAAATCGGTCAAGAGATGACGGAGCTATGAGTTAAAAGTTTGTACTTGAAAAACTCAGAGCCATTCTATGAGCCGTTATGCCGTGGCTAAAAATTGTATATAACCTTTGTGTCTTAATTTACAAAAAGAGAGAGACAAAAAACAGAAAAAGAAGAATACATTATCCTATAATGTCCCTTTTGCAACAGATGTATTCTGTTTACATGTTTAAAGATTAAGATCAAAATGTTTATCAAATGTTTGGGGAATTGCTATTGTTTTAAGATCAAAATGCCTATAAAATGTTTTGGAAATTAATACAAGACCCCATATGTCTGGTATCGAGCATTAATCAAATATAAAATTACGTGTTTCACATAAATGAAAAATTAATTTGAAAATAAATTACTTTGTTAATATGTAGTTGTTATTGTTTTTTTAAGAGTTCAGAGTTCAGGTTTTATGCATGATTTATCTCTAACGCTTTTGGAGGCAGCTAAGAAATTTGAGTGAGCCTGAGTTATGAAATAAATAATTGGGCAGACATAAAGAGACATAATAAATTATATATTTTATTTTTCACTAACATTTTATTTTGTTTTAGCCTGCATAATCCCGGCTAGTTCAGCTTCAATCAGTCGCCCCAACATGTCTAACGAGAGATGCGAGACGATCAGTTGAAGTGTGAGGATCGTTTTCATCTTTATATACTTATCGCCCATAAGTCTCAAAGTGACACTGAAACAGTAAGAAACCAGCGATTACTTACAACTTTTCTAAACTGTAGTGTTCCATCATAACAAGTACACAAGCACCTAGACTCTGGCTGAAGTGAGTCATGGGCGGTGGTACCAGCTGGTTTGTGCGACATTTTGAAACTCAACATGAACGCCTTTTTCCACGCATATGGACAATATGACGAGCTCCACAAAACGTGTATGTTGTATTGACTTTCTCCTAAACTGGAACAGTTACTGCGCTTAGCGGCCAAGCTAACAATCTCCTCCACATGGCGGTAAGCTGTACTAAAGGCTTTAGCGCCTGCATTCATGAACTAAATGAAAAATCATAGGCGAACTAGCCGATAGCACCATACATTCAAACGACTAGCAAACAGCTGACAGCGGGTTGCATTAACGGCTTCTCTCAGCCATGGTTATACGACTTTCCAGTGAGAAAGTTTGACGGTATGGGCATTAAGAACGCAAATATCTTGAATGTAAAAGATGTCACAGCTGTGAAGCTTCTAGGCCGTTAAGAACTGCCAAAGTACCTTTCTACTCAGTGAATATAGTTCAAAATCTGTTGGGTTAACTGGTAATAACAATTATTCAGAAAGCTCGTCAGATTACAATAAACACGCTTAGCAACCCATCATTAAGACGCTAAACAACCAATTACCTTATCAACTCTTTTTTTTTATTTTCTTTTTAATCATTGTTGTAACATAAGAATATACTGCATTAATAGATATCATATCTTTGCGAAAGTACATTTTACTTGCTAACCAAAAAAGGCATGCTTTTCATTCGGTTTCAAGCGATGTTTTCATTATCTGGAAACCTGATAATCTCAAGTATATTCAAGAATGATCCAAATATAAACATATGTTTTTATTATTTTCCAATTATAAGAAGTTTAAGTATATAAATAGTGGATGAACGAATAGACATCCCCCAGTAGCAAAGCGGTATGTCTGCGGACTTACGACGCTAATAAACCGGGTTTCGATACCCGAGGTGGACAGAGCACAGATAGTTCATTGTGTTGCTTTTGCTTAACTACAAACAAACCAAACTAAGGGACAGATAGCGCTCTCTGTATCTCTAAACTATAGTTAGATAACGTAACCGCATGAATTATGCAAACAAATGTGTACTGGCTCGTATCGGAGGATCTGATGGACTGCTGGATGCTTGTTCCACTACTTCTATATTGACCTTTACTACATTACATGGTCACCAATATTTAATCACGAGGGATGTCAAGCCTGTTATTAGTGCAATAACGAAACGTACAAAGGTCTGGCATGGTCTGTACACTGAGGATTAGTGTCTAATTACCACCGACATTTTAATTACATTAATTAAGCGTTGTAATTAAGTACCGTGCAAGGACGTAACCAGGGCTACAGAATATCGCCACTAACAAAGCATAACTAAGCATGGGTTGTTAATCTTACGTAGAGTTATTGAACAAACTCATATACTCTTTCATAACAATATATAATAGCTTATATGTAGGACAAGAAAAATTAGAATGCAAGTATGGAAAGGTTTTATAGTAATCAACGGTTGTTCTGACTGCAGTGATGGAATGATAATAATCATGAAATTATATTATGCCTTAGTGCATTCTGGACCCATTACGTCGTGCTCAAAAATATAAATATATATATATATAGATAATACTTTAATACACTATCCTTCTTTCATCCTTTGGTGTACACTATATACGCGACATCTGACCAATAATGTTACGTATAATTCATTAGACTATTAGTAATTATAGGTTTGTATCACAGAAAGATCAATGATAAGATTTTAATCTCAACAAATGTCTGGAGAATATTCAAAATGAGTTAGAAACCTGTTCTCTACTATATCATTTCTGTCGGTGTGTTATATTTATATGAGGCATAAAACTGCTCATTACAAAGTTTATGGAAAACACTTGAGAATATAAAAGTAGGGGGCATTTCAAAAATGGTCACTGTAATAAATGATTTTTTTTAAATAATGGTAATCAAAAATAACTTTGGTTATTCGTAAAAAAATACTTTTTGGTTACAGTTTTGCTATACCAGTTGTCCTATAAACCGGAGTTAGTATCGTACACATTCAAGCTCTTTGTTTTTGATTATGTTCCCTGAACTCTTTTTGTATTACATTCTTCTTCTCCTCTCTCTAGTTTTAGAATTAAGATATATCTCTATAGTTCTTAGTTAAAGAATGCCTTTATATATTTATGTTTGGTTAAGTTATATTCAACTAGCTAAAGTTTTAAGTGTTTTCCATTTATATCTAGGATACTCTTAGTCAAAGTCTGATTTTCTTGTTTTTTTTGATTAAGTTGTATTTATTTAGCCAGAGTTTTATGGTTTTTGTTTCACAGATAAAACTTTTTATATGGTATTCTTAGATAAAGCCCGTCTTTGTAGTTTTATGAAATTAAGCTGTATGTTCTTCTAGCCATAGTTTTACGTTTTGTTCACAGGTAACACCTACCTCCATAATAACCATAGTTGAGGCTACGGTTGTACTAATTAAAACATGAATTTAAATTTGTAGTAACAAAGTGAGAATACTGATGAATAAATGCGCTCTAATCTTTACACTAAATCAATGTTTAGTTGTGATCTATATATGTAGTTTGGTTTTATCAGAAGTTACTGATATATGATTGAGTACAGAAGATGAGAAAGTTATATTAAAATGATTTTTGAACACTATAACATAATTAAACTCCATGTGGCCACGTCCGGTCATCCTCTATCTGACGACCACGTATCCTGAAAATAGTTCTGTAGCGTAGTTTGCAATGCTAAAGCCTTAGTCGTAAGGCTTTCAAAAGCATATCAGTAATTCCTCCGTGTTTTCATATTTCATCTAGTGTGTAAGAGCATCGGTTTCCCAGCGTCCATTTTAATAATCCAATCGCACAGAAATTCATAGGCACTGAATCTGGCGAATTGACAGGTATGTCTACGTATGAAATAACATGAATATCCGTTTCATTATTCAGCTGTTTGTGGATGTGATTTTTAAACGAATATGTAGCGAATAATCTTGTATACACTTGACTTGTGTCGCTTTTCCAAACAGAGATCCTTCTTGGTTATGTTGCGTAATGTTTTTTATGTTACGTACTGTAGCTTGGGTCTTGCCGGTAGTTTATGTTTGGATTCTTACTTGTTGCAAAACATCGCATTTTGCTTACTACGGCTGGGGTGCGACTTGTTTTAGGTCTCTTTCCGGACGATCCTAGTACCTCATATTGATCCATATTCCTTTGTTTTCTAATGCCATTAAGTACAAGGAATATCCCTGTCTTGGAAATGCTAAATCTCTAGTCTGAACACATCTATATAATCTGAGTGTATGAATATTTTGTGTCGGAAAGGACTGCCACATACCCATCCCAAAGTCAATCAATTTTTGATAACATCACCTTAACTACGAAAGCTAAGCAATGCAAACATGTAGTCCTGATACATTCCGTTCCACCTCAAATTTGAATCGGCAATTGTTGTTACATGGCTTGCTGATTTGCATATTCAAATCGTTTTTATGTAATCTACTCAACCCTCTGTAGTTGTTCTTGTTGAAAATTACACTAATGGGGTACTCATAGCAAAAACTTTGGGATATGATTAGTTTCTTTTGTTTGTCATTATATTTTCGTAAATAAAACACTAATTAATAACTAATAAATAGCACTATTGTAAACATCATAATCACATTTATTTCTTTGTATGACGGTATGTCTGCGGACTTACAACGCTAGAAACCGGGTTTCAATACCCGTGGTGGGCAGAGTATAGATAGCCCTTGTGTAGCTTAGTGTATAATTAAAAACAAACAAACAAAACAATTCTTTAAGCTACAAGCTTTTCTCCTTTTCATGTTGAGTAAGCCTTTCAAGGATAACATTCACACCAGCATATTTTTTACCACTCACATCAAAATGTAAGAATTAATACAATTACATGTCATAAGCGTAAGTTGTTCACAATAACAAATATTGATTGATTTTAAAATATTCGCGATATAAATCTTATCACAAAAGCATTGATGTTTACCCTGAAGCAAAAGAAAGAGTTCCATTTTAAAACTTAATGATTTTTTTTCTCTATTTCTCGCATAATGTTAGTCCATAAAAATCCACCCTTAGGCCAGGATATTTTCACAGAAAAAGTTCAGCATTTGTTTATCTCACAAAAGGAGTTTAGATCAAATCTCATTCCCTTCGGGATTACATTGTAATAAGCTTTTCTAAGTGATTTTCTCTCGAAATAGATCGATCACAACTCGTACAATATATGTACTTACACATATATATATATATTTTAATGAAATGCATGTTTCACAAAATATAAGAAAGTTTCGTTTTAATCGGATATCTACTCAGAAGCCTGGGGTTGAAGTACATAAGATGAAACACCTGGTTTTGTTTTCGAATTCAAAGCCCTGAATTTACATTTGCATAATATCTTAGCACGTCACTAACAGCACCGTGTATAAGTATACAATCTACCTCTCGATAGCTGGGTTCATTTTTTGGATACGATATCGTTTCACATACTATTATTATATTATAGAACTAGTCGATAATGTCAAACGGAAATGTGTTTTACTTAAGTGGCAAATTTCTTACAAATATTCTATTGAAACGTTGAAAGAGTCTCTCGGTTGCTTCAAATAACTTCGAATTTTTTCGTTACTACCACATAAGACTGTACATATCAGTTTTACTCCAGACATTTCACATATAGTTAGTTACTCGACGTTTAAACAGATAATACCTTAATTCATATTGGCTATCAATCTGGTTCATGTATAACACATTTATTTTTTGAACAGTTTTGTATTAAATCACTGAACAAGTGAAAATAAATCGACTCTATAATTAGGGAAGGGAACGACTACACGACCCATTAGTCCATTACAGTATGTAAAATAGATCTATAACTAGAAGTTCTAGGGATGTTCGAAAAATCTGGAACCATAGATGATTTGCACCTTTTCTTAATTTCAGATATGACTGATTGTGGCGCTGATAAAGCATGAGAGATTGTGGCGCTGTTAAAGCATGAAAAGGTCGTGGTAATCATGCTGTTAATTGAAACGTGTTTTGAATTATAAGGACAGCATGTGGAACACATTCTGCAGAATTCATTGAGGTGCCTGTGGTTCTAAACTTTTCGGACACCCTGTATACTGTATAAGTATCGTAATTTTTATTGTTTGTTTGCTTATTGAATTTCGCGCATAGCTACTCTAGGGCTATTTGCAATAGCCTTTCCTAATTTTGAAGTGACAGACTATAGGAAAGGTAGCTAGCCGACATTACACATAGCCAACACCTGCGCTAGCATTGTCAGACCAAATAGTGAGATTTGACCGTTACTCTTATAATGCACTTACGATCCCAAAGTACGAAATGCGATTTTTAGAGAGGTTTGTTTGTGTGTTTGAACTTAAATACAAAAATACACAATGAGCTATCTGTGCTCTGCCCACCACGGGTATCGAAACCCGATTTCTAGCGTTGTAAATCCGCGGGCATACCGCTGTGCCACTTGAGGGGGGGGGGCTTTTTGGAGAGGAGCGGTAACGAGGCACCAGCAACAGTACCTCAGATCAACGGTCCGGCACACTAAAAGCTCGGCTGCTCGGGATCGGCCCAGTTTTTAATTGTTTTAAATTTATTATTATTATTGAGTAACGGAAGAGTCGTAGTTGTTATCTTAGCGCAGAGATACACAATGGGCTATCTGCACTATGTCCACCGCGGGAAATCGAACCAAGGATTATAGAGTCGTATGTCCGTAAACTTACCGCTGACCCCCCTCCGGGAGACACTAAAAACAGAAGCACCAGTGTTGATAGTCAGAATATGATTTATAAGTAGATAGAGATCAAATAAACAATGTAAGTTAAAAATGCTCGTGAAAAGAAATGAATTGTCACGAGAGTTCAGTTTTAAATGCTGTTACAAACCAGAGTGAAAAATACTGATGATAAAAGCATGTCATGAACAGCTTGATGGACACTGTTTTTGATAGACTCTTCCGATTGGTTTGCTTTTGAGATAACGTTTCGTGTTTTATGCTAAAGGATCCAGAAAACAAAATCTTAAGGCCAAACCAAAGGAAGAAGTCCATAAGAGGACATGCAAGTACCACTGAAAGTAAGATAATCTCGTTCACAGCTTTTATTGTTGTCTTACCTTTATTATACGTATTCCCATTGAATACATTAATAGATAACCTGACGTTGAGAATTTTCATATCTCACTAAATCTTCTTATAACATTGCAGAATCTATCTTAAGAAGAAAAATAGTAATGCTATCAGTACTGTGTCAGTTAAATATCTGTATTTCAGCTCAAGCACCTTATATGGCTGAGCATAGTGAGCAGTGCCCTAAACTTGTATTATGCAATGAAATTATAGACCATAAAAGCTCACTTGAAGAATTTGAATTTATGGTTCATACAATTTGTATACACACGAAGCAAGGGACAATTAAAATATTAAAAGTATAGATATATAGATAATTGCGTTAGTTGTCTGCAGTAATTCAGTACATATATATGTGTGTGTGTTGAAGGAATTTTACTAATATATTTCTTGTACGTATATTTGGTTTTTGTGATGGGGTGAGAAGTTTTTCTGATGATATGAGAAGTTTTGTGATGATATGAGGAGTTTTTGTGATGATATGAGGAGTTTTGTGATGATGTGAGGAGTCTTTAGGGAATGTGAACCGACCATTTGTATGTGGTCAGTCGTTTTATATATGTATATTTAAACTTGGTAAAACCAAAAAAATTATCACGTAACATTTGCTGAGAGATTCAAGAAAGAAAAAAATCATATACTTACAAATCATATGCTTATCTACTTACTCGGCTCTTTCCACTTAATTTCAGAAATAATATTTTACAGGGTAATTGTAAAGAACAATCTTTTATTTAAAATTATTATACCTTGAAAACTTCTTGTTCTAGGGAAACAAAATTCACCAAAGGCACATTGAAAACTATGGAATATATCTAGTAAAGCTTACACATGGTACAAGTTTTTCTTTTTCAAAACAATATTATTCTGCGTTCTTAAATTGCCCCTTTTTCTTCAAACTAACATTGGTTCCCTTTCTTTCTTTTCAACAATATGAGATTGGAGATTTGAATAAAATGCGTGTCAGTGTGCAGAATATTGCAAGGATCAATGAACACTGTCCAAAACAGATGATACTTGTTTGCACTAACTTTATTTCTGGATAAGTTTGATATGCTGATCGAGAATAACGGAAAGCATATTGAATATCTTCTTTGACAGCTTTTGAAACAAACTGTTCTTATATTTTTCAATGCACACTGCTGTTTTAACGATAATCTATTCCTACACGGTTTTCAATCAAAGTAGGTCTCATAACACTGCTTTACTTATTAAGCCTACTTGCACTCGATAACCTGAAAAAATCAGTTATAATAATTTCTAAGAAAATATACTACCACCATGGATTTGAAAAGCCTCGAATTTGTATAGAATGATTTCTATAATGATAAAATATTGCGAAAATTGGTTTTGTCCGAAACTAATGCCTAGTTTCTGTACAAAATAAGGAATACGTACTATTTAAACTATTGAGATCGACCACAGCAAATACGTTTGAAGTATAACTACTATATATCTTTATTCTCTATCTATATATAGTACTGTCTTTGTTCTCTACTTATATATATATAGTACGGTCTTTGTTCTCTACCTATATATACAGTACGGACTTTGTTCTCTACCTATATATAGTACAATCTTTGTTCTCTACCTATATATAGTACGGTCTTTGTTCTCTACCTATATATAGTACGGTCTTTGTTCTCTACCTATATATAATACGGACAGTTACTGTCGTTTTCAATAAAACTAAAAAGTTGAAATACATTCGAACAACGAGATTAGTCATATCGAAATCCAATATGTTTCTGCTTAATTGTAACAAATATGATTTTCAGAAATGAGGTAAAAATAAAGAGAAAATTGTGCGTTTCACAAATATTTTCTTTATTACTATCACAAGTTCGTTAGTAAAGGTTTCAGTTTTTATTTTTAGTAAAATGACTCTTGTTGAAACTTTAATAGGTTAGCTTTCATACTTTTCATGTAATTTGTCACATTAAACCGAGGCAAGACTTATGGAAAAGCACCATTTGCTATTTAAGAAAATTACCTTATTTTATAATCTGTTAAAATTTAATCTGTTTCATTCGAATTGATT